CCCCCCCTGCCTGCCCACCGCTCTCGGCCAGCCTGGCGAGAGGCAGCCCGGGCATGGCACAGTGTCCGGCTGCAGGAGACTCATCCCGCCGAGGTGGGGGTTTTGAAGGACAGCGCTGGGGGGGTGTTCGCAGTGCAGGCATGGCCACCCTGCGCTGCTGCCCACATCTCCTCCAGCCCCTCGCTCAATTTCCCTGGGGGTGTTCAATGGCTCGCAGCTCCCTGCGCATTTTGGCCATCGCAGCGTGGGGCTCGGGCACTGCCAGTTGCTGCGGGCAGCCGTGTCTGAATAAAGGTGATCTCTGCGGACGAGCGTCCGGTGCTATGCCTGTCAGGGGTGGGGGTGAAGTCACCCACGGGGTGGTTCTGGGGGATGCAGGCAGGTGCCAAGGCCACCGGCACAGCGTCTCAGCTGTGGGTACCACCAGCCAAGGCTGGACCGGGGACCCCACCAGGGAGGTCACATCATGCTGGGCGAAGAGTGGGGAATGGCACCAGCGCAGTCCAGCATCGCCCAGCCCAACCCCACTGCCTCCAGCAGGGACTGCTGAGCCCCACGGCTGGAGCCAGACACCCACCAGCATTATTGCCCACGTGCAGGCTTCGAGTGCCTACGTTTAATTTCTCTCTGCAAAGCACAGCACGCAGCCGAGCTGCCCTTCGTGGCTCACCCCATGGCTCACTGCAGTCAGGCCGACCTGAACACGCAGACGGAGGATGCTCCTACACCCTCATGTTGCTCGTGAAGAGCAGCTCATTGCACACTGTGATGTCACGGCTGAGCATGGCATCATCGCGTTGTCCTCCCGTGTCACCATCACATCATCTGCTCACCCAGTTTTAATCTCAGCGTTCTTCCTCTGTTAATCACCATACTTTACTTCAGCAATTCCTTTATATTTAATCTTTATAAGCAGGGTTTTCTTTCCATTCTTCTCCAAAATACTTAATGGAAAATGCAGGGAGTCATCTCCAAGGGAGGGCAGCAAGCCTGCAGAAGGGTGAAATTAAAAAAAGACAGGACGTTTTTTTTTCATTCCCCCCCCCAGCAAGGAGCGGTAGTGGGGAGGGCTCAGCTCACCTTCCTGGGGGAATCCTATACAAAGATGAGAGCTGGTGGGGGACAGACACAACCCTCCTGCAGCCCCTCCTGCACCCACGAGCCCTGGCACCCTGCCACGGAGGTGGCAACCCAGAAAGTCCTGGAAG